GTATCGGTTGAATGAGGATACTCGAGTGGGAGGAGGAGAGCCAGGTTCGTTTTTTGCTTCCGCCTACTGTTCCCACGAATCGGCGAATAAAAAGAAATCGATCGCCGCGCGAACGGTTAATTAGAAGCAAATAGTTATATACGGGGGCAGACGACTGCGATAGAACTTTGTTATCTTATCAGAGCCAATTACCCTGGCGCTCCCAACGGAGAGGCCTGAAAGGTCACCGAGTACCAGGCCGTAATCGCGATTATTAATACCGGGAACGGCGCGCTTCCGTTGTGTTCGTCTCAATCCGGCTCGTCTCTCCCTTAAATCCCGAACTTTCCAACGGCGTTGCGTACGCGGGAACCCCGCCGGCGATTTGCTACGATCGGCGATCACGAATCCGCGAGATATCGAAATCGATTCGCGCGCGCGCGCTTATCGCGGGAACCAATTTGCGCGCGGCCGATATCGGATGAACGTGCGCGGAAAAACGCGCTATCTGAATCGTCAGGACGGCCGTTTAGCGAGCGGGATAAGCGGGCCGTTTAAATACATCTATTTGGACGGGACTCAATGGGAATCCACCTCTGAATGAAACTTGCGTGATCATCCTCGAGGAGAGTAGGATTGCGCGTGTCGCGACGATCCGCAAGGTTCGCGCGCGAAAAGGCGATATAATTAGTTTGCAACTGTTTGCCGACGCGCGACGTGCGCGTGTCGGTTTTATTAAATTACACGAAATGAAGCAATAAATCTTTATGAAGTGTAAACCCTGCGCTTTGCCATTTGATAAAATTACATTTCGCGCTTATTTAGTCGGTCGCTTCAGCCGCGTGCGTAATATTTAAACACTTTTGATGAATCCACGCAGATAACGGGCGCGACGGCGTGTGTACACGCGTCTTCCTCGTGTACGTGTTGTGTACACTATGTGTATACATGGTACACGTTTACAATACTATGTAAACGGAATCCAGGATACGTACATACGTACGTTATCTCCATCGGTTTGTGTACGTGTGTCCATTATATGCTCACTTTTGTGTACGCGCGTGTGTTTGTGTGCCTTCGAATTCCACTCGTATGAAATGGCCATCACGTGACTGGATTGCAATTGCCGAACTTTGAACATATACGCGCGGGACGAGGAACGGAATGTGGTAGAAGGTTGGATAGAGAGAGAGAGAGAGAAAGAGGGAGGGGGAGAGAGAGAGAGAGAGAGAAGAAAAGAGAAAAAGAGAAAGAGCAGGCATTGGCAGGCAGAAGGGAAATCGTTCAATCGATGATATATGCGTCGTGAATAATTTTCATCACGAATTTTAGTAATTGGACTACGACAGACAGTCATGATGGTCGATTTGGGATTAGTTTCGAAAATTCAAGCAGCAGTGCTGCAAATTTCATTCGCATCCATATGCACCTATAACCTAATATGACTGATTACTTCCGAGTGGTGCACGCTTCAACGCCCATCGCGGAATCACGAAGTCCGTGTCAAACGTTCGTGAGAAGTTATCGGTCATTCCTTAAGTAAGTGCGCGTGTGACGATGTTTACCTCGAAATCTCCAGAATCTTATGAAATGGACTTGAGAAATTGTTTCTAAGATGGCGAAACGATCGAATTTTGGTAATTGGACCAGACAGCCGTGATGATCGATTTGAGATTAGTTTTGAAAATTCAGTGTTGCAAATTTCACTCGCACCGATAACCTGATATGACTGATTGCTTTCGAGGGAGGTGCATGTTTCAACGCCAATCACGAAATCATAAAGTTCATGTCCAACGTCCGCGAGGAATTATCGGACATTTTTTAAGTAATTACGCGTATGATGATGTTTGCTTCAAAATCTTCAAAGTTTTATAAAACAAATTTGAGGAATTCTAAGATGGAGCAAAACATCGTAATTTCAGAATGGGGAATATATCTTGGATTACACTTAAATGAAAGATAAAAAAAGTATCAAACTTAGACATTTTGATATTTTTTATACCTAACTCTATAAACATTCTTATTGTTTTGGTTTCTAAATGCGAATACTTAAACTTTCAACGCAGAAAATGTATAGGTACGTCTATTGAATATGTGCGCGTATTCCACGTAGAAAGTTTAAATATACGTATTTAAAGACCAAAGCAATAAGAATGTGTAGAATTAGGTACGTGTTACCACAAAATCCTCCCTTTGGCATTTTTACCTCATTTCTTCATTTTCTTTGAAATTTGGAGTCACCCTCAAAGCGCGCAATTACTTATGGGAATACCGATGCTTTTCGCGCAAGCAATTTTTACGTATTTTCTGAAACAATAAGAACCTTATCGGGGCCGTGGAGAATGCCGGTGATAGAGTTGCGCGTGCTTTTTTCCGATACCATTGTCACACGACGACGACGACGGCAATATCTCCGACAATCTGCGGACGCGCTAAAAGGATTCACCCTACGACCGAGAGTTCCAGATTAATCCGGAATTAATGCACGAAATTCGCGGAGAAGCGAAATTCGGCGCATATGCGCGATTCTGTGCGCGGAATGACCGCCGGGTGATCTGATTGCAATCGGTGAGTTTTGAATGGCCATAGAAATTGAGAGCGGAGCCGAGCAAAATCGTTGCGAGCCGGGCGCGCTCGCGCCGAGTGTCCGTGACAGGATTTTCTCGAGAGCGACCGCGTAGTCAACAACAGTGTGTTAAATTCCGCGCGGGAGCGTCCCACATAAATGTTGTTGAAAACTTTTCCGCTGTCCCGGGCGTATCCGCGATTCGCTTGCGGTTGTAACAAACAGAGAGAGAGAGAGAAAGACGCTTAAGCTGTCTCTTGGATTTAATCGCGTCGCGTTCGCAGAGCGCGATTTAACCGTGTGAGATTTCGTAAACGAGAGACGGTAGAGAACGGTGTAAAGGTCCAAAAAGTCATTCCCCTTCTGAGAGAAATCAGTCGTGTTCGCAATAAATGAAATAGAAATGGTTAAGTTACTCTGTAAGGTACAATCAGCGTAGTACAATGCGTTCCACTGAAATGTTACATTTGTAACTGATGGTTTAGTTCCAACTGTAAAACACTGCAATCAGCAAAACTTCGCTGAAAGGATTACTTAATAGTAACGACTATTTCCATTATGGACACGAACTATTTGCGGACACAAACAGTGTCGTCGCACGCAAGGCGCACGTAAGCCGTTAATTTCATCATCGCAAACGCAGACACAGACTTGTGTATTACAGATTTTGCAGTGAAATATAATTTCCACTTGCACTGAGAGAAAAAATGATTTACCTAACTAAAATTATAGTTATTTTTAGTCCCAATTCTTTGATTGTTCTAATACAAAAGTAGCAGTAGTAACGTACACATAAGATTATCATCACTGACATAGTAGAATTTAATTAAAAAGTAGTTTTCTTGATCACAATATTATAATAATTATTTCTCTATGTGCAATCATAGTTACCAAACATTTTTTTCTCCCAATGTGATAAAAATCAATGAGACGTAAGACGGAGCAGTAAAGTGGGAGTGCTTCCGCTGAATATCAGTGAACATTCACGGATCATCGGTGAAACGGCTCTTTTACCAATTCAATCAGAAACATTCTTACTGCGATCTATTCTTTAAGAGAATAGGGTTTAAATTGAAACCGAATTAAATTGTACGAGATATAACGCGCGCCTCTCGCGCTCATTTAACAGTCTTCATTCGGGAGATACAAATTGTTTGTTACGAAATTACAGCGCGATTTCTCGCGCCGCAACGCGCTTCGTTTTACAAATTACGACGCTTGTTCTCCAGATTACGGTAATCAGTCCGGTGTATATTCCTTTCCGTTTTACTTGAGCGCTGAACTGCGTTTCGCAAATGGAGTTGGCCATCTTAGGATTCGGTTTTACGATCATCTCCTCGGCGCAAGTGTTACCGATTTTAGTGGAATCGAGATTTGATCTTAATGTATTCGTTCCGCCCTTATTTCTGCGCGCCTCATTTCCTCTCTTATCCGCGGAACGGTCGAGGCATCGGTATCGAATCAGGCGGCATGCCAAATCGCACCCGCGGGAAGATAAAGAAAAGGAGAAAGACAATCGGCCGGGCGAGAACCATTGCGGGACTTCCCGTAAGATTTCCCGCTTTCTTTAATCACCTTCGCTCTGACAGCGCTTTCGAGAGAAATGGAACGAGGAAATCGTTGGCTCCGGTAAGTGCCTTGATGATTCACTTTCCATGTCCAATACCGAGAAGCCGTTGCAATTCGCGCTTCTATGTCGCGTACAAGGTGTTTCCTCGACGAGCGTTTAATCGGTATCGCGTCAATCGATAAACTACTTTCGTACGAGTCCGTCGGGACAATACCGCAAAGTCAAACAGTGATATCCGGTGACCGTAAAAGCTTCAAATTCGATTATTCGTAGCTCGCGTCAATAAAAAAAAAAGTGAATTTAACGGGCAGTACGATTAAAAATTATTTCTGTAGAATGATTCGTTACATGCGACTGATCAAATATCGGGACACCGAACGAATATACGCTTGGCGAAGCACCAAAAACAAAATGGGGGAAAAAAACGGAGAGGAAAAATTGACGAACGCACAGCGCAGGGCAGCGTCCGTATCAATAGCAGCCCGCACAAAGAGCTGCAATCTCCCATATCCGCGATGGAAACGGGAAACGACTTTTAGCGCGGGTTACATAAGACAGAAAACGTATAGAAAAGCCAAGAGCCCTGAAAAATAAACGCGCGATTCACGCCGATATTTGTTTGAATAACAAATCGAACAAAAGTCGCAGGAAAATCAACGAGAAGCAGCTGGAAGTCGAAAGATCTTTCTCAATGCGCCATGATCTGTTTTCTTTGCCTCCTTTTCAAGACCGCGACGTTTTAATTAACGCAAGAAGACGGGAATCGCTCGCGAAAAATCGACATCCCGTCGTCGTCGTCGTCGTCGTCCAAGAGCGAGGACAACTCATCCGGAAAGTGTCCTGACCCAGTTGCACCGCGGGAACAAGTCATGTCGATACACCTACCTTCTCAGTGTCGCTAGTCGCTGCTCCTGCGCCGTGATGTAACCGTTTAGTGTGTCAATCAGCACGGCTTCCGTTTCCAGCAGCTCCTCCATATCCGCCAGAGCGGTGTAAAGTTCTGCCGCGGCATCGCGCGCCGTCACCGACAGCAAAATCGTTACGGCGGTTAACAGGGTCGCCTTCCTCATCTCCGACCGATGCTGCAATCAGAAGTCGCGCATTTACGACATATACACCCGCGTGTTCAGCAGTATCGTTCACAATCTTATTCGCGCACGCGGTGGAAAAGGTACGGTTGGATTATATGTGAGCAGTCTCACGAAGTGTACAACTAAATTGAAAACACACAAGGCGAGCCAAACGCTGATGCTGGAGCGCGAAGATTTAATAATGTAAGCGTAGCGTTTACTCTTGATCCAGACGTTTACAAACATTGTGCTGCGAGGAATATTGCCGAGTAGCCAGATTGGCACGGCGAATGGAGAGCTCTACTTTCCATTCTTCTGACTGAGGCAGAAATTTTCATAACTTTGAAATGAATTTAAAAATAAATAATTAAAAATAATTAGGATAGGGGGTTTATTAACTTCTTCAATAACTGCGTGTTTTCTCTCGGAACGATTTTTTTTGTAATAAGCACATATCTAGATTTCTTTTCTCTTCATTGCTGTCTTCTTCGAAGAGAGAATTTTGGAGAACAGAATACAAAATATAATTCTCACTTTTATTTGCAATGAGTGAGCAAAAAATACGATACTTTAAGTAAATTAAAAAATAAATTTAATACTCTACAACAGAAGTTTTTCGGGCATACCACTAATGCGTTTAATATTAAAAGTTGAGAATTAGAGTCGGCTTGATATAGAGTATAATTTCATCACGTATGCTACAAAGTCTGTTAAACTATTCAGCGCGTGCGTTAACATAGTCAAACATTATTATCTTCCCATTATTACATATTCATTAACATCAGCGTTTGGCGCTCTTATTTGTTTTGTGGTTGGATTAACCCGACCCAAATGCGGCTTGATTCGTTCATTGTCGAGCTAATCTTCAAGCAAACTTTTCTCTGCGTGTGATCGTTATGAGATTACGTCATGTCAATATGCGAATATAAATTGTAAACTTCGTATTTTTACATCCATGGGAATGAAACATCAAAATGTTTGAAATTTTGCTGCTAAATGGATCTTTGATACTTGATTACGGCAGATTTTACGTTTATTCACGTCTTCTGTTTCACTGATATTTCCCCGAATCGAAATTTTATCCCTATATTAAACCTTGAATTCTACAACGTAGTAGAAGCTCAATTAGCAAAGTAGGTTTAATTCTAATGATACAATTTACTTCTACTTTAACTCTGACGATGTCCGAGATTTCCCTCTTCACTTTCTTTAGTGTCAAAATAGTTATAGACTTTAGAGTGTCAAAATAGAATGTTGAATGGTATAGTAAGATTGAAAGCAGAATCAAAATTTTGACTCGGGTCGTGTACTTGAAAATTATGGCGTAATTATCCAAGTCATTATTCACAGCTTACTCAAATAATTTGAAGCTCAAGTCACGCGCATGTGTATGCACATGCACGGAGTATCGTCTTCGTTGAAGTTTCATCTAAACTATTAGACCGAGTTGCGCCATGCAAACATACATCGACTCCTCTCATCCCCATTCCCATCCCCATCCCCACATGGGATCCTATTTTGCTCGACAAAAGAGCGACGCGAGACTCCGAGGAGCCACGTACTTTGGATGGGCGCGCCGAAATTTTCCGAGGTGACGCGGGACCGTTGTTCCCTCGTGGAAAGTCAGCTTCGTGGAAGACGTGGATGATAATGCGTCACCGCCGTGTGTGGATTTGCGCGCATCTGTGGCGCGTTTGTGTTGCGAAAAGTTCCAAGCTGGCAGAGGAGGATTAAAGTTCGCGCTGATCGTACAACTTACACCTGTCGGATCGGCGATTTATTCCGTCACGCCGCTGGCGGCACGTAAACTTTTCCTACCTTTTCCACTTTCCGAGCCCCCTTTTCAAGCCACACGGTAGCGACTAACCAACCCTCTTCCAGTGCCACCAGCTTTTGCCTCTTGTCCCACTTTGCGGCCGCGCTCGAGAGCCGTTCTCATGGCGAGAGTATTGAGAGCGAGGAGTGTCAATACTCGAATAACTCGATGCTGCGATATTCAGTGCTCGATTCACAACACGAAGAGATTACGCGCTTAAGGGTTGCGAATGCCCGGCCCGTTTCGAAAACATTCGTAAATGAGAGGAGGTCGGAAGAGGTCGAGGGAGAATTGAGAAATAGCACTTTATCCCATTAAAGGGAGTGATAAATGATCGCATGATCGATGTCCGTTTTGTACTTTAATCCTGAGTTAATGAGCCCGATCGTCACGTAAAGTTGAAAGGATTCAATCGAAAGATTACCATTGCTAATAACGTTCTTGCTCCCTCTAACTCTAATGATAATTTCTTCAGAGATTCGTCCAGTTATCGCGTTTCAAATTATTCCAAATATTATCCCGCGCACACGCGCGCAGACGTTATTTATATACATTTATTCTAAACACTTTCTCAAATAATAAATAAATTATTAGTTTGGTCATGACACAACATGCAGAGGCTATAAATAACTTTTGTCGTTTAATAAACAGATGTCGACTATCGCCAAAAATCATGCTGCTGCTATAATAACTAGCTAAATACAAATCTCTTAAAACGATCCCCCTTTATTCGTTTACGAGAACGCGCGGTGCAGTGTTAAGCGAACGAGAAAATATATAACCTCCGCGACGCGCGCGCATAATAATTCGTTTTGCAAACAGCTGAGAGGAATGTGGTGGCGAAGTGACAGCAATCCTCGCTATTTTTTCCGCCCGGCGACTTTTTTCATCCATTCCTCCTTCCCAACGCTACAGCAACGCCCCTAATTACGCGTACCGTAAATTGGCTCGCCCACCCCTTGGCCCCTTTCTCATTTCTTCGCCCCGGTAATCGAGCTTGAAGCCACCTTTGAGGTAAATTCAACGTGACTCACGTGTACACGCGATAAAAGGCACGCGTTGATACATACTCGGTGACTCAAAGACTTTGCTACCCCAATCTACAGACGTACTCTTTCTTAGCGGATTTTCGCTGCGATCCCTTTTACGCTCTATTAACACTTCCCGTTGCGCGGTCCGTCCTTTTCCTCTATTCCTCGTGTTTCACTTTGCGTTTTTTGTTAGGTTCCCTTTGCGCTGGTGGATTAAAGAGTGCTTCAAGCAACTTGAACCTTCTTATCTGTGCTGTCTTCTCTTCTTCGCCAACAATTCGAAAATCACGTGGAACGTTAAGGAGTGTTTAAAGTTATTATTTGCAAAAAATAAAATTGAAGGATCGAACTTTACGTTCCGAAACTGTCGGGAATATTTCTCCACTACGGAGAGGATTTTATAACAAAAATTACTATAGCATTTTGCAATCAAGGCATAGATCGACATTCTTGATTTATCATCTCTTCATTTCATATCACTTATATTTCAGGAACTAAAATGTGTTAAAAAATCTACTGCATTTGCAACGAAATTTATTATGCTTCTTGGCAAGATGGATCTTACTGACAATCTATTCCTATTCTATTAGAAATATAGTAAAATTGAAAAGCACTTATATTGAAAGAAACTATAATATTCTCTTCGTGTAGTAATGATTTTGAGAGAAAATTCGCAAATGTACTTTCCTCGATATTACCTTCCTAGATATTGTAATCCCCATTCGCTCCTACGTAGAATCACCCCCGCTAATCTAACATCTTTTATGATGTGCGGGAGATAAATTACACGAAGAGAGTGAGCCTCTTCATTACGGGGTATTACACCGGTCGCTTATATCCGCCGTAAAAGATTATAGCTCTCCGTAAGTCGCCATCGGAATTATCTAATCAGGTTGAAGTTTTCCAAGCGCTGCATAGGACTGAGCGGGAAAAGTTTATAGAATTACAGTGTTTCTCGAAGACGTTTACACGCATTACTTCGTCACGCTCTACTAAGCGGGAAACGCGCATAAGCAACGAGGTATAACACAACCGGTGACTCCTTTTTTTCCCTTCACCCTCGCACTCTAGGTAACATTTTTCTTTTCTTTTCTTTTTTCATTTCGCCGTGAATCCCTTTAGAACTTAAACCCAACCTCGGCGGTGCCCGACCGGTACCCCGACTGCCCATCCTGCGAGAAAGCCTGCCCCTTTCGGGAAAGCGCTTAATTAATGCTGACCATTCGCCGAGATTACCGGGACCTGTCCGAATTTTCACAGGGCGCCGGCAGCATTGGTAAAAACTACCTCTACACCCCGCTTATTCGTATCCTCAAGCGTGAGGATCTCGCGCTAATTAGTAATTAGCTAACTCGATTCTCCTCGCACGATTCATTGTCCTTTGCTTAACTGGCGTTTGTCCACGCGAACATTACCACGTATTATTCATCGGCGGTATGACCCGCCGTTTCGATATTCATCGGCAAATGTCACGGACCAGAGAGAAAGAGAGAGAGAGAGAGAGAAACAGAGAGACAGAGAAAGGAAAAGTGTGTTCTCTGGGATTAAAATAGAGAGGGAGGAGAACTCATGGCATATGACAGCGACGATAACTTCCACGATGAATTTTTCCGATCATTTTAACTTTCTAAGACCAGAATGCGTTTCGCGAAATCGCGTGTTTGATTGACACGGCGTATATTATCCGGCGAGCGAGATACTAGCAGGTTTTGGGGAAGCGAGCGTAAAATGTCGCTAATAAGAAGACCGCGACCAGGCTGCGCAAAAAGGCGGCTTTGAGAGCGCGTTGCAGCTTCAAAATGGTAATTTCACGGCCTCGCGAGCATTTCGCCCGCGGCCAATTTAATTCCGGACGGATGATCGCGCCGTCTCGCTCGTGCTGTCCCTTTATTTTTCTCCGTCTCCCTTTGTCTATCCAGTCCGGTGTCACCCGATTCCGCTCGTTCGAACTCGTTATACAGCCGGGGCGCGACCTTGCGACTTTCAGCCGTTCTCCTTCTTTGCGAAGGGTCGGCCCGCTCGCGCCCCTATCCGCCCCGTTCTTTTTTCCGCGCGCCCCAATGACGCTTTTTCTCCCCTCGAATTATTTCGATGGAAATTGCTTCTCGTTAGTATCGATCAGCGTTATGGCGCGCGCGAAACTTTCCGATCGCCGTTAACAAGAG